GTTAGATGTTTTTAGACTTTATCAACTTGTATTTTAACAAAGCCAGAAATAATTAGAACTAATCTACATAGCAGGGTTTGTTTGTTTGTTTGTTTGTTTGTTTGTTTTTGTGTATTACAAAGGCACAGTGAATCTGAAGCACCCAGTCCCTACACTGGTTCAGGCCACTGATAATGATTTTTATGTGCAAGGCCATGTACCTCAAATACCATAAAGAGTGTCCTGATTTAAAAAAAGAGAAAAGATTTCTAGTGTTGGCAAATATGGAGCAAGGTGCTATATTAACACAAGGTGATTAAAAACATCTAATTAAAGCAATATATGTAGTATAATATTGTTATAAAATTCTTTCTTTTGATTTGTTGGGAAGATGTCATTGCTAAAAGTAAAAATGGTTGACATGTGACATCAATTTATATTTAAATAAAATTATGGTGAAATTCTGTCCTGCTTTTTTTGTGAAGGGAGAGGGTTGATCTGTACCAGCTCTTCATGTGGCCAGTTAGTGCAGTTTGATTGAAGTTGATTTTTCCTGTAGCCATGGTGACTAACATGCATTCTCATAGTTCTTGTCATTTCCTTAGACTTCACCAAAAAGGAGTCATGTTTTATTAGGGAGCTGATAACATTCAGTGAAATTAGAGGGGATATTCTCCTTCAATAAGTTTCTCTAATTTTCTCTTAGGGACTGAGATGAAGTGACCTAAGACAGCCAACTATATTTTAAAAAACAAGCTACATCTAAATCTTAAAGCAATAATATTTTGATATCAGGGTTATACATTCTTCTTATTAAATATTATTACACACAGTCAGTTTCTTCTCTCAACCTCTGTTTGACATTTTAAATGTAAGATTTATGTATCTTTAATATGGAGAAATATACAGAATTTTAAGACAACAAACCCATAATATTTAATAAAAGTAATTATAGTCTATATATGGTCTTCTATTACCTAATTAATTTCATTTCTATTTTTCTATTGCTGTTTTCTTATTTGCTAAATAAAATCTTACGTATCAGTATTAATATCAGAATTCTATTTGATGACTATAAAGCACTCTCTTTTCTTGTAGGGACAGTAAGAACATGTAATCCTTGCTTCTATGAAATTTTCCATGCATTTAAAAAAAATTCTTTAAGTTTTGAAGGAAGTTTTTCTTTTTCAGCTTCTCTGCCTAATTTTTAATTGTTATTAACAAATTTTATTTCAACTCTATTCTTGCCTTCCAAGCTTGAAAATACTGAAATTTATTTCAATATTTAAATCTAGATCTTTCAAGTTTATGCTGGTATGGTCAGTCTTTTTTTTAATGTAGAAAAAAAGAAAGCAGAATAAGTAAAAATTTAAGAATATAATCAAAAGTTATCCTTTAAAATTTATAACATTATTATAAATATAGCTATAGAAAGCTCTTTTAAGATGAGTGTTCTTTCTCTTTTCTTTTCATCCCCATATTGATGTTTTATTTGAATCTTTAATTTATTTTAGTTGTCTTTTTTTTTAACCTAGAATGTAGGGACTAATGATTAACATGGTCATTGTAAGTTAATATAACATGCAGTTTAAAGTTTTAATAAAAGTGCCTGGAATGGGGAGTGGAGACTATTGGCTGAAATGTTGGACCATTAGTAATGTAATGTTGAGTTTGAAAGATTTGGAAATCTCACTCTCTCCTTCCTACAAATCTAATACCAATGGTTGACTGCCCTGGACTTGCACCTTATTAGGGAAAAATTTAAACTTTTTGATACGTTCTTCAAGAATTTGCACATTTATTATCCAGAAACCATCATATTTATATGTACACCTATGTGTGTTTGTGTATGTATATATTTATATAGACACTCAGTAAAACTTCATTTACCTAATGAACATAAAATCAACTACTGTTAGATCTTATTTTGAAATGAAGAGATAAGGATACATTTTTCTCAGGGAAGTATAATTTTATAACTCCATATTTTTATTCATTGCAAATAGTCATCATCTTTCTTTCCTGGGAGGTCAGCTGTGCAGCCCTTAACTTTCACTTAATGAAAGATAATGGTGCAGTCATCTTGTAATGTCTCACATATGTTATTCTTATACTCACCTTTTTATATGGATATTCAAAGTTGATTGCTATCTGGTTTCCTCATATGAATGTGATCCAGTGCTGATGCAATAAAAAACAAAATTGTCATCTGCAAAGCCAATGAGCTCCTCATCCTTTTCATATGTCTTAACATTTTGTTAATCTTTCAACTGCAATGATTCCTGGATCACCTGATTCTTGACTTTTTATGTGTGTATTTATTAGTCTTCTTTCCATACACTGCACTTAAACGCAGTTATGGTTTTGATGCTATATGACCCTATTTTGTGTGATTGACTCTTCTCTCTTAATTGTTCTTGGCCAATTTGCACTTTAGTTTTAATCCTAAGATAATTAGTTATGTCCTTTTAAAGAAATAAATTCACAAATGAATATCTATTAAAAACTCTTTCTTCTGAATATGATACAAATAATTAGTAAAAATATTCAAGGAGTCTAAGACTGAATCCCCAGAACTCTTGGGGTTTGATCTTATAATGGCCCATGCGTGTCTTAAGTGCATTTTATTATGTCTTTAAAAAAAAGGACAGTTC